TTGTCGCTGGTGTGAAGCAAGGCTGTGTGTTAGCTCCTGCCCTGTTTAATATCTATCTTCATGCAATGTTGTCTTGTGCTTTTGATGCGGCTTGTGCTTACGGTGTTCGTGTGGAGCACCGTATTGATGGTGGGTTGCTGAACATCCGTCGTTTCGGTGCGAGAACTCTAGTCTGTGAGACAACTATCCGTATGTTGCTGTTTGCTGACGACTGTGCGTTGTTTTCACACAGCGCGGATGAGTTGCAGCACATGACTAGTGCTCTGGCTTCTACAGCGGCCAAATTCGGGCTCACCATCAACACAAGCAAAACTGTCTGTCTCTTTCAGCCTTCACCGGAGGTGCAATCTTCAATATTGCCGCAAATCAGCATTGGTGCTGAAGTATTGGAAACCACCTCCCGCTTCTGCTACCTTGGGAGTGTGATGTCGACTGATCAGCAGCTACACGTTGAGTTGCGTAATCGCGTGTCGAAGGCGGCAGCGGCATTCGGGAAGCTTGAGTACCGAGTGTGGAACAACCATCAGCTTAGCATTGGCACGAAGCTGCTGGTGTACAAATCCATGGTACTGTCCGTTCTTCTATACGGCAGTGAAACGTGGACGATGTACCGTCGGGATGTGCGATATCTCGAGCGGTTCCATCAGCAGTGTCTGCGACGAATTTTGCGGATCGGTTGGGGCGCCAGAGTTGCAGACACGGAAGTGTTGCGCCGAAGTGGGATGTATGCAGTGGACGGCATACTTTTACTGCGACACCTGAGATGGCTCGGTCATGTGAGCCGTATGGATTCGACGCGAATACCGAAACAACTTTTATACGGTCAGCTGAGTATAGGGAAGCGGCATGCTGGGAAACCAAAGTTACGTTACCAGGACATGATTAAAGTGAGCCTCACACGTTCTAATCTTGATTGCAGATCATGGGAATCGAAGGCGGTTGATCGGCGTGCATGGCGCGATCTAATCACGAAGGCAGTTGCTGAGGTGCGGGAGAAAGCCCTCATGCATGCAGAGAAGAAGCGGCAGTTGCGGAAGCGGCAAGCACCGATGAATTGTACTCCATCGACATCGAGCGCATTGTGCTGTAGAACATGCGGTCGCGAGTGCCTTAGTCAGGCAGGCCTAGTGAGCCATGAGAGAGGTCACTCGGGACCACTGCCGAAGCGACGACGGGTCCCGCAGTGAACGTAGGCAGCACCGGCGCAGCGTTTGTAGGCACGCTGAATTCGATTTACTAGCCGCATGCTTGCATGCCAAGTCTCTTTATTTCAGGTGGTGGGTTTTCGGTTCTCTCCTAATGCCTTTCTTTCTCATATAAATGTCTAGTGGACCATGAGCTAGGTCCTTTGGGGCCACTACAGAAGCGACGACGGGTCCTGCAGAGAATTACGGCGAGCCGGCGCAGCGTTTGTAGGCACGCTGAATTCGATTTACTAACCGCGTGCTTGCATGCTAAGTCTCTTTATTTCAGGTGGTGGGTTTACAGTTTTTACCTTAATGCTTTTCTTCTCATATAAATATCTCCCTGTACTCTATTCCATTAACTTGCACACATCGCTTCAGCCAATTGTATTCGATTTCCATAACATTTTTGTGTTCGTGGCATACCGTGAACTATACTTCCTGACCTCTTGCACTTAGCTAGGATGTGTTTGTAAACAACTTATTAAGTATGCTATTTAATTAAGGTTTATGTCACCGTTTCCTTATGCATTAATCGAGTTTTTCTCTTTTTTTTCTCTCTCAAGTGATTGGCTGTTGTTTGATATCCCCGGTGTGGCTGCGCTTGATGTGCATGTTGACAAGGTGCCTACCTGTCTATTACCCACTACGTCGTCCATACTGGCTCCAGGAGACAGTTGGTCGTTGCTTGAGGGGACGGGGTGCACGGTCCTTGTGGCCGTGTTAGGCTCGAAGAGTGGTTCCATGCACTCAGTATGGAGCGGACTACGGTCCAGCCACCGCCTTGTGTGCGCTTGATTCCCCAAATACAGTGTACTTGTGTTTGCCTGTGAAGGAGTGTGGGCCGGCTCCGTTGATGAAACGTGGTTCCCATCCGCATGCCTCCCGGTCTTATTCCTTCGGGTTTACACTGGATATGGGGTATGTGGTTGGAGCTGTGGGTGGTGCAGCGCAAGCCATCCATGGTCCCTTTGTAGGCGCAGGCGTCCTGTGGCTTGCCACAGTGACAGGCAAATCCGAAACCGGATGCCGCCAACCATATATATATATATATATATATATATATATATATATATATATATATATATATATATATATATATATATATATATATATATATATATATATATATATATGTGTATATATATATATATATATATATATATATATACTGTCTTCGATTTGAGCAAAGCATTCGTTAATCTCCCACATAAACGGCTACTCAGCAGGCTCCGCGAAATTAATGTCATTGGCAACCTTTAATCCTGGATCGTGGATTTTCTAGACAGATGAACCGTACAAGCAAGTGTAAACGAGACACTTTCTCATCCAGTGCACATGACCAGTGGAGTTCCGCAAGGTTCTTTACTTGTGCCTTAACTTTTCATGCTCTTTGTTAATGGCCTTCGTGGAACACTTCGACATGAATGTCGTAAGCTATGGTTTGAGGTACCCGACCTTGATGCTTCCGATAGGCTACAGGACTCGCTAGATCTACTACACTAATGGTCCAACAAATGAACATGTTGCGCCCTTCTGATCGGTGCGTCTGAGCCACTCATTACCTATCGTACTGGTGGCATCCTTCTCAAGAACGCTGCTCGAGAGAAAGATTTAGGAGTAATAACATCCTCTAACCGAAAGACCATCCGGAATACGCTGTGGCCGCTGCTAATAAGGTGGGCTCTGTCATAAGAATGTCATTTTCCTGAATAACAGCAGATATCTCCCGTACGCCCAATACTCATGTATGATTTGCCAGCTGTCTTTCCACTCTCAAAACTGGAATGTGACTTGATTGATGAGGTTCATAGACGTGGCTCAAAGTTTGTCTCTGGACTTCGCAATCTCTTACCCCCCTTCGGATCCAACGGATGAATCTTTTCTCTCTGGACTACCGTCACCACGCGGGGCAGCTCATCTTTACCAGACGCACGCTAAGGGGGGAACTTGGAAACGAACTAAACTTTTCCAGCTCAACGCAGGAAGTTCCACATGAGACCACAATTTAAAACTTTTAAGCCAATGATGCATCATGTTCACTCCGCTGTCGCCTTATCCACTCGGGTGATAAACGACTCGAACCGTCTTCCAAAGAACCTTATCAGTGCTCAGTCTGAGGAAGGTTTCAAGCGGCTGTTAGACTCCCGCTTATATAAGTCATCAGGATCGTACAATCGCAACTGCTCCAGCCCACTAGGACTGCTGGCCGCAATGACAAGTGCCCCTATTCTCAACTGGAGGTGATGGGCTGACATGGGAGCTCCCTCTGTCCCCTACAACCCAATGTATCAGAGAAACTTCTTTCTATTCTGAAGTCTGTGCCGTGACTCTGGACTTCGGTTAATGATCTGCGGAAAGCTGTGTCCTTCTACCTCACTTGTCGTGGGTTTGCCCTGTATCATATCGAGATGATCATAAATGACTCAATTCTTTCAGCTCATCTCGGAGTGGAAGGTGTGCCAGATGACCTGCCAACAAACTGCGTATGCAGACAGCATAGCTCTGCTTGGGTCTGACACGCCTTCCATGCCAGCATTACTGGATAAGCTGATACGTGGCGCTGCATGTTCCGGTATGTGCTTTGCGCCTTCAATTTACAAGATATTTTTGTAGGACAACTGATGTCACTGGTTTTGGCTACCAGATCGGTTCACTCTGATACTTGCGTCATATCTGGTGGCACATCATCGAGGTTACTACACATGTTAGCAAAGTCCTTGTGGCATCTCAGAGGCTCAGCCATCTATGAAGACGGTGGGAGATCAGTCTGTCAGAGAAAAGTAAGAGGCTTTACGCTCCAACAAGACTGATGCTACTGTATGGATCAGAGACATAACCAGTTCACACCAACGACATTAAACACTTGGCCGTGTTTGATCATCGATGTTTGCGGAGTGTCCGTCACGCTTGGTGGAATCATCGAGTGAGAACTGCTGAGGTTTAACAATTGGTTTTTGGCAAGAAGCCTTTTGGTGCCTCACTAAAGCGTACGTTAAACTTAGTCTGTTTACGTTGGCTTGGTCGTGTATTCCGTATATTCGTTGACCGCCTTTCTGGGCGTGAACTATATGCTATCACCGAACTTTTTTGGGCGAACTAGCGCGATGGACAGTCGATGAGGTTGCACAAATCCAAAACGAAATTGGTCGAGGCTTGGTCAGGCTGGTACCTTCTGCCTCCGTGTGTGGAGGCCTCAGATTATTGTACATCAGTGGTTTGAGGTCATCGGACACGGCGCAGTCGCGCGCTTGGTAAATTCTGCATACGGTTTCTTGCATCTAGCTTCAGTTATACATTCCATCCCGATTATTTTCGAGCACTTATTTTTTAACTGCTTTTTCGTTTTGTTTTCATTCTATCTCACCGTTGTTACTTATTGTTTTGCTGGTGACGCGAATCGTGGCAGCTAACTTCACTGCACTTCTGGACCCAGATAATAGTTACATAGTTTAACTGAACTGAAATCAGCGGTCAATGAATCACAGGACAAAGTTGGCCATCCCACCATGTCAGAGTCCAATTTCGTACGTTCATTACGGTTGTTGCAATTCGCTATGTATCTGCTTCCGTCAGTCAGGCATCTGCTTTCGGCTTATTGGCTTCTAACTAAAAACCCCTCTTATACGGTAAGTGCTTTCCGTTTGCTGTTCTTAGCTTACCTTTATTTTATTGCTGCAAGGCTGACACTGGATTTGGGGTTTGCAAGATGCAGGTTGGTGACACGTACTTCTCATTCTTATCGATTTCGATCTCTGCCCACTAGGCCTTGCCGCTTTTTGTCTGATGATCGTCAATATTTTGTATTTTCTTTTAGCACAGGATTTTTCTCTGCCTCCGCTTGAGCGCTTGCACATTACTGTTGTCCCACTACTAGCTCATGACTGCTGCAGATGAGCTCTTATACTCTTATCCAAGCACTCCCACACCATCCCTATCTTCGGTGGATCATGGCAGGGCCAGAATTACACTCGTCATTCTTATCATCGTTAATTTGCTTAATTACATGGATCGTTTTACTATAGCAGGTATATCGTAGACTGAGTTCTGCCCTTCAGGTATTCCAAATTTCGTGAAATCGTTCTACTCAATCAGTGAGGAGCAACTTGGCTTGTTGCAAACCGTCTTCTTTGTCACTTATGCACTTTTAAGTCCCATCGCTGGTTATCTCGGTGATCGATGGCAGCGAAAGACTATTATGCTAATCGGATTGGTATTGTGGATTGCTGTGACCCTTGCCAGCTCCTTTGTGCCCTCTCACGTAAGTCACTTATTGTTCCGGATCACTCCGCAGTAGCTTTTTCCTCTATTCTTATTCACTCGATGCCTGGTGGGTGTGGGTGAAGCCAGTTATTCAACGGTGGCTCCAACTATTATTTCTGACCTTTATACTGGAAGCTCTCGAACACGAGCTCTGGGATATTTTTACTTCGCAGTTCCCGTCGGAAGGTGAGTGATTCATCCTTGTTCCATTCTAATAGCAACAATCATATGTGGTGATTTATGTATCTCTTGCATTCCCCATTCTGCTCATATTATTTATAATCCATGTTCCCGTCGCTCGTACATCGTCTGAACTTTATGTTGACATCAAGTCCGTGTCTAGTTGCTGTTTTGCTAGCTGTTCACGCAACGGAAAAATATGAAGTATCTGACTGACCAAAGTATTGAAGAGATTAGATGCTTCGCTTGCAATTCACTCGATGGAGCGTTTTTTTATCCTTTTTGCCGGACGCTTTCAGCACTGTATCTCATCCTACTCTTCTGTCCCGTCGCAACGAGACTAGACCTTAAGGTAGTAGCACGGTTCCATTACTTAATTTGCGCTTCGCACCTTCAGACTGCAGTGTTGCTGCGGGACCATCAACCACTTGATGATCTTTTGACCCTAGATAGCGAGGAACTCGAGATAGTTGTTCATTTCACTTACCTTGGTAGCTGTATCAGCAACGATGGGGGTACAGCTACTGAGGTCAGTACACGTTTTGTAAAAGCAAAAACTGCCTTTTTGAATCTGCGACATCTTCGGCGACAGAAAGAAGTTCCCCTCTGTTTGTAAGACCATGTTTACAAGGCCACAGTGTGGGCTGTCCTACTCTATGGGAGTGAAACTTGGCCACTTCAGTCTGAAGATCTGAGGCGCCTTCAACTCTTTGATTATCGCTGTCTGCGGAGCATTGCTGGTGTCGGGCGGTACCAACTTGTCTGCAACCATGATGTGCGTAGGAGTGTGCTTGGCAGTGATTCCCAAGCTAGTTCCTTAGAACAACAGCTATCACCGAATACGTTGTGTTGGTTGAGGCACGTATTACGTATGCTCGGTCATCTCTTTCCGAGAAGGGCCTTGTTTAACCTGCCAGATATAGGGTGGCGCAAGCCTCGAGTGGACAAAAGTTGACTTGCAGCGGGAAATGAGGTCACTGATTACCAAACTTCGTTACGTCGGCCCGTTTCGTCTTCCAAGCTGAAGTCCACGTGACTCGTTTTGTGCCTGGCTTGGGACTCTACAGGACATAATTTACAACCGACACCAGTGGCGCGTCGGCTGCTTCCTCCTAGTCGGACTGCCAGTTTAAAGTGTGTTCGGTGCTGAGTTATCCGCCGGGTAATTACTGACTATGACGCGGAGCAGTGAAAAGCCGCAAGGAAGCTGTCTCGCCGATGCCGTCTCATCTTTTCATGATAGTCAGCTATTTGTGACGGTATGTTATTAACGCAAGGTGTAGTCGCCTTGGCCCTGGATGTTTGCTTATGGTATTAAGGTTTTCCAATAAAACCCCTTTTCTCTTTTTATTCCCGTTCTGTAGGTCGTTATGGTTGTACGGCAGCCAATCATCAGTTCGAATAGCTGGTTTCCTGTCGTCATCATCATCATTATACATGTTAGCTGCAGGTGGAAAACACCTCAGCTATTGTGCCGGAATACAAAAGCCATGAAGAAAAAATACAAGAGAGGCACGAAGGCTGAGTCCCCAGTAACGGATCGACATCCTTCCCGAGAGCCAACAGCCGGCTATCGTATCGGAGAGCTAACAGTCGGCTGTCGTGCTGCAAAATGGGAGTTATATTACTCCTAACGAATGAGATCGTGATTGGAGAAGGAGGCGGGAGGAACATGGACAAAGGAACGCACAACACAAACGCCATTAGAGCCGGCTCCTAGCCATATCAGCAAGTGTGACCAACCAAACGTGTTCCTCGTCCTTAGGACCCCAGCCAGGCAGTTGGGATGCACCAGCCGACGCCAGTTTCGAAGTGAGGGTTTTTATTCCTCTCGACGAAGTCATCGCTTGACCTCCCCTCCTCCTCTTCCAACCGCACGCCCGGCGCGCAAACACTGCACGTCGCGGGAGTCAGTGGCTGGCATACACAACACATGGCCCAGTCACCGGAGCCTGGTGCTTGATATAATGGTGCTGGGCGGTTCACTCGCTCTTCCTGCACCAAATACGCGACGCTGAACACGCTCATTGCTCACGCGATGCTCCCACCAGACATGAGCTAAGCTGCGAAGACAGCGATGATCGAATGTGACGAGCCTCTTTATGTCTGTCGACCTGATTGGCCAGGTTTCACAACCGTATAAGAGGGTTGAACGGTCGGCATTATACATTCTGCCCTTCAGAGTGTGAGTGATGCCGCATCTACGCCACAGTGACGAAGATTGGCAAAAGCACCTCGAGTTATCCTGCGTGGTAATGGCCGATTATGATGCGGGGCAGTGCAAGCCGTAAGGAAGCTGTCTGGCTGATGTCGTCTTATCTTTGCACGATAACCAGCTGTTTTGTGATGGCATGTCGGTGACAAGCTGTAGGGGTCTTGACCCTAAATGTTTGCTTGGGGCATTAATTTTTTCCGGTCAATCCCCCTTCTGTCCCCGATATTGTTTTTCGATCTGTAAGTCGTCATGGTTGTATGGCAGCGAAGCATCCGTTCAAATGACTGATGCACTGCTGTTGGTGATGATGATGCGCACCGGTTCCAATTTTTCAGCTGGAGAAACGGGTTTTCTGTTTACTATCTTTACGTAAACGCATCCTTAAAAGCATCCCCCAACATTACTGCCATGAGGCCAAGCAGGATCCGATGTAGCGCCGTATTACTATTTCAGAATGCGTATCATAATAACCTCGGCTGGGGTTACTCTTTGTTACGGAATCTAATGGTTGAAATCAGTGTTCACATAAGGCCGCATTCGAGGTTGCTATAGCTGCAGTTGCTCTCACTGAAGACTACTTTCAAATCCTCAATGGTAAAGGTACTCTTCGGTTCCTTTCGTGCTCGTGGGATTGAGGATGAGATCACGACCCGTATAGCAAAAGCTCGAGGCGCTTTTGCTAACCTTCGCCACTTATGACGCCGGCGCGACATCACTCTTGCCCTTAAGGGTAGAGTGTACAATGCAGCGATACGTTCGACCCTACTGTACGGTTGTGAAACCTGACCGCTTAAAGCAGCGGACCTGAAGAGGCTAGTTACGATCGACCACCGGTGCCTTCGTAATTTAGCTCACATCTGGTGGGAACACCGCGTGAGTAACGAGCGTGTTCGACGCCTTGTTTACGGCACAGGAAAAGAAAATGAACCGCTCAGCACCGTCATTTCACGCACTAGGCTCCAATGGCTCGGCCATGTGTTACGCATGCCAGCCCACCGACTCCCGCGTCGTGCGTTGTTTGCGCGCCGGGGGTGTGGATGGAAGAAGAGGAGGGGTGGCCAAGCGATGACTTGGTCGAGAGGAATGAAGGCCCTCACTTCTGAGCTGGCCTCGGTTGGAGCGTCTCGGCTCCCTGGTTGGGTCCGAAAGACGATGAACACGTTTGGTTGGACACACTTGCTGATATGGCTAGGAGCCGACCTCAGGGGCGTTCGTGCTGTGAGTTTCTTTGTCCCACCCCATCCCTCTTAGCCTCCCCCTCCAACCACGATTTCATTATTTAGCTTTATATAATTTCGCATAGCATTTTTTTGATGCACAGTAGCCGGCTGGTAGCTTACCGGAACGATGCCCATCCGTTACCGGTAGCTCAGCCGGCTTGCACCAGTTGCATTTTTTTCCTTTTTTCTATGTATTGCGGCACCGTAGCTGAGGTGTTCCCCACTTCTAGCTAACGTGTATGATGATGATGATGTTCCTTTCGTTGTCTCGTCGCTAGTGTTATGATCTCCATGTCAGTCAATCGGTCAAACAGTAAGTGAGAGAACGAACTGCATCTGATATGTATCTCTGCGTGGGCTAATCCATAACATTGGTTAGTTTATGAATGGGGATGAGCGTCCCAGTCCAGGATACGGGATCGGTGATGAGTTGACATGATGTCCACGAACAGTCATGTTTGGCGAGCACAAATATCAACAGCGTAGCTTAATTTGCTCGGGGCCGCCCTCCTAACAATCACCATGCCAGTGGCATTGGCATTTATTCCTCTGTTTCTGATTCTCAACCACCCCATCTGCTTCTTTCATTTCTTGCCTATTCCTCTTGTACAATTATAATGATTATTCTTAGTATTGTCATTGCTGTTATTTTGGCAGTATGAGTCGAAGCAGCTAGATCTAATGCACTTCGGAGCACTGCTCATACTTGACGAAATGAACGGGACTGATTTACGACTACTCTGAGCTGTGTTATTCTTGTTGCTGAGCAATTGGTGCTGGCTTTCTAATCATTTATCCATTATTTATTTTAATCACAGTTTTATTTCTTAGCACGTGGCACGTTAAGTCACCACTCCCCTTGTTTTTACTTCAATAATCCCCATTCACAGCAAGCATTTCGAGTTTTCCCGTTATTCAGTCACGTTTTTTGCACTATTTCTGATTTTATTGTTTGGTCCTCTGTGCCCCGCCTTCTTATCATTCTAGCTGAGTCTATTTAATTCTTCATCACTTTGACCATACTTCATCTCACCTCGTGCTACACTTTCGACACGAAATCGCCTGATTTTTGCTATAGTCCAGTTTGGGTTGGCTTTGTCTTTATTGATTAGCAGGCGACGTAAAAGTGCCCAAAACCGAAATGCTTTGTGTCATTCATTTTTTCTTTCATCTATGTACTCTACGGGAACTTTTATTTATGAGCGCCATTGTTTTTAGCGGTCTCGGTTATATCATTGGATCAGCTATGGCTCGTTGGAGTGATCAGTGGCAGTGGTCTTTACGCGTCACTCCCATTTTCGGGGTCATTTGTGTGATTCTCCTGGTATATCTACATCGTGATCCACCGAGAGGTCATGCGGAAGGAGCGGTCCACTTGAACACGACGTCATGGTTACTGGATTTGAAATATTTGTTGTCGAACGAAGCCTTCCTATTGGTTAGCGCAGGCTTCACTTGTGTCTGCTTCATTCTTGGTGCGGTCACTTGGTTTGGCGTTCATCTGATTGAAATGGGCATCAACGCGAGGCATGACGACCCCACTGCATGGAGAGCATATGAGTGAGTTCTGTTTTAATCGATCATTTTTAATGCACACCAACTGATCATAATTCTTAGTGGTGTTTTCCCATCGCTATGAGACAGGATATTACCGTGACACCATGATTTATGTGCCTCAATGATCGATTGAGCTATGCTGTATAGTGCCTTTTTGCCTTCAAACCTACTCATACCAGACTGGTCAATGATTAGAGGCCGGACAAATTCAATCTCCTGGTCTTCCAGGTTGTGGGTTGGAGTGCGAGTGACTATTTAATCTTTAAAACCGACTCCCTGCAGTCCATTGCTTGATTCCCGCTGCCTTGTGATCGGGTCTTTGAACTGAAGCCTTTAGTTGAGTATCTTAATCGTCCTCCTGTCTAGGCTTGGACGGGCAACTTCAATTCAAGCCAAGGTAGGCTTTATGCATGCGACTGGGAACATTTTGCGCGTTTTATACTAGCACTGCGGATGATCGAAAATTGTAGTCAAAAGGTAGCTATGAGCATGCGCATCACTCGAGTAAACATGGCGCTGGTAAGTTTATTGGCGTCCACCATAAAACTGGATACATACGGTCATCTAGAGTTATAAGATCTGCGAGAAAACGAAACCCTAACTTTAGATCGGATAGACGAACAGGAGAGAGCTTTTGATAAATCATCGTGAAGAAGGGGAAAATGATCATTTAAAACCTTTACTGAAAAGTTGTCACATGCAACAAAATGCATAGTAACGTCAAAGTCAACCAGATACTCTCTGGGCAATCCACTGCGCCTGGAAATATGGTTACGGGAACGCACGATCTGTGCGGAGCCTTGTTGTAGAAGACCAGGAAAAATGATAGATGAGCAATGAGGAAGAATACAAGCAGTCAAGAATTAATAAATTAATGAGCAGGGTAGGGAAAGCATTTTTAGTCTCAGTGCGTAAAATGTTAATTTTCGCACGTTGCAGAAAGTTTCCTCAACATGTGTTGACCGTGATAGACTATGAGATAAATATACACCACGGCACTTGAAAGTAAATGAAATGGACATGTTGCACTCTCTCACGACCATAGGGCGAAATATCTTTGCTAAAATCAGTGCCAAAATTGGCAGTGCGAATGAAGGAGAAAGTTATCTCGCGGCATTTAGAACCGTTGAGAATAAGGGATCTATACAACGACCGCTACTGAAGCTCGTCCAATCCGCTTTGGAGAGCCGTTGAAGACTCAGTAGTTGGGGCAGTACTGTCTAGGATTGCGTCATCAGGGCACTTGCATTAGATAAAGCATTTCGGTGTATAAAAAGAATAGAAGATGGGAAAGGACTGCTCCTTGTATAATGCTCCATTTATTAGGAAGAGTGAAACCTTTTTTGCTGTTCTGCTGAACGAACTGAGAGCTATTTACGAAATAGTTACTCATCAGCTTGCACACTATTGGTCGAACGCCGTTCGCAGACAGCTGACAATTCCAATAGCGTTGGGATAATCACAGTACACAGTATTGCACTTCGCATTCAATGCAGATGTTATTAAGTGAGCAAGGTATTCTACGGCATCTAATGTAGAACTTCGGGGTCCGTATTCAAACTGATACGTCTACGGCCGGATTGCTTATTGGAACCTAAGGCACAAATTGTCGGTCTATCATTTTCCACATGATAGACGGAATATCATGGATCCCTTCTCTGGCACTGACGTTATTCTGACAGGCCTCCATATGTGGATAATAATTCCACCACGTAGGCACCGACTAAAAACATCAAGGACACGGTGAGGGTATCGGCACACTCTTTAAGACAACTGGTGAAAGGACATCGAGTGCACTAGCCATCGTTGAATTCAACTTCCCTAATTCCCCATAGAATTCTACATGTTTGAGTGTAATTTTTGGGCTAGAGCCAGAGATCGAAGGTTAACCGAATGAAGGTGAGGAGACTGCTTCCTGTGGAGAACAGAACTCAGTTGAGTTTCCCTGCATCCATATAAGCAAGCTGCTTACAGGAGCTTTTACAGCACAGCTGCTTTGAAAAAGTCTCCACAAGTCTTGACAGTTGTGGTTGCATAAGATGGCTCCGACCTATAAGTTATTCAGTCGTAAAATCTCAGCTTTTATTGCCAAAGGGATTTGACATTTATAGGCCCGTTCTTTTTTTCATTCTCAGTTTGAGTGATGGTGAGCAGATTGCTCTGGTAAGTACATGGTTTCGACTGGGCGCACAGATCGCAGTAAAACTTCGGGTAGTCAGTGATATCGCATCGAACAAACAGATTTTCGTCGATTAAAACTGTAAAATCAATAGCGGTCGATGTTTCCTGGAGTCTCGCAATATTGGATGCTGAACACTTCGCCTCACAGTTTTGAAGGGGTTATTGACAAATGAACCGGAGTGAGTCTTACAATAAAGGGCGGTGAACACATTTCTGATACAATGATCGGAGTTACCGATTGGAGTATGTTTTTGCGCAGAAAACAGCCAAGCAGGGTTTGTGAAGACGAAATGTAGTCGCACTTCTAGCCTGACCGGAAAAGCTGTTATGTCAGACAAATCAAGTACCTAGCATTACTTTTATTGAAATCCCACGCGATGACAGACTGAGCGGTCAAGTTTCCGCAATAACACCGAAGATAGATCATCTGCAAACATTTTCAACTCTGATGCATTTTTGTCGGGGAATATGTTTACATCCCCATAACAACATAAAGCCACCCAACACTGGTTTTTGACTGTTGAGCAGGTGAAAATTATGGTCAACTAGTTACGCCAGCGTTGACGGACTTAAGTCATGGCACCCCCTCCAAAATTTCGAGGCATTCCTAGAGCGGTCGGGTCTGGTCGGAAGAATGTAATCGGTTTTCTCGATGCATCAAAAAAGCGGCGTCCGAATATCCATTTTGCTGTATGACAGCAGTAAAATCCACCATTTCTCCGGAGTTCAGTGCTTCAGTGATATTTGTGCTTCGTCGGCTGAACGACGTCGTAGTCCGAGTTACCAGTCAGCACGGTGTTTTTCGAACTTAACTCGTTTGAAAGTATTTCTCACTTTGTGGGCATACTGAACGAAACGCAGTTGTAGCGCAGTATCCCGGAGTGATATCAAAATATTGACGGTATCTTGTTCATGCAATGCAATGAAAGACTCTTCGCACAATTTCTTGATATTTTGGTCGTCGCAGAGAATAACAAACGGCGCCGTATCTGCTGCGTCAAGCGGGGTGGACAAGATTAAGGCTACTGCTGCTCAAGCCTTCTCGCCTTCTCACTACCCGTCTTAAGGTTTTTCATACTCATCGTTCCTTTTCAATTCTTGGTCCTCCTACTCCTTGTTTTCATAGGTGCTTGTCTTCTACTTCCGACTACCACACAATCGCAATGCGTCACTTCCGTTCTGTCAACAAGTCTGACCGACCATACGGACAGCGTCAGTTCATCCTTCTCTATTGGGAGCCATCAATCCTCGCTACAGCTGGCATGTCTCAGCGTGCGCACTTTTTGCAAATCAGTCAACAGATAGCACTTGCCTGAACAATAGAGACCCTACCGATCGATGTCTGCCGTTTATCGGAAGCCCAACTACAAGACGCGAGCCTTATGCTCACTCTACTATTTCCTTCAAGTGACGTGGGCGGTATTTACTGCGTTTATCCGGCAATAATGTCACTTCGAATACCGGTCAAGCTCCGGGGCTGATGCTACTCTTGTAGGCTGGATCCCGGTCGGTATTCAGATGTACGCCGTCAGGTTGGCTGGCTCGTTCAAAGCTTTGAACTTGTGCGAGGCCAATAGTTGCCTCTTTGTCATGGCTGCCTATGCCTTCAAAAACTGTAGCGCTGGCTCAGTGCAAGATCACCTTTGTCACTAAGTAAACGACCAACACCGTGTGGGCTCCCGTATTGACAACATTGATCGTTGGCTACATCTCTTCCTCGGAAGCAATAACTTCGGCATAGCACCTGGTGGAGGATGAGAGTCCACGTGCCTCAGAGTAGCTGTGGATGCAAATTGATTACATTACAATCGGTTTCCGCATGAGACTGCGCTTAAAGGTGCTGCTGGATTTAGAATACGAGCGTAAACTAGGACCACGCACTTGCATGCGCAGATCCCCGGGTGCGTTTCGGAGGACACCCGCCATCACACTGTCAGCGCACAGAAGTTGGGTAACTGGTGCACCCGGGTGTTTTATTTTCCCATCAACCTGCGCTAGCATGCGGACTGAGTAGGCGTTCACTGAACACATTTAATGATCACTGGTGGCATGCTCACTAGACGTTCACTTAACACGACTTAATTATGAATTACTTTCACGTGGTCGTGGATATTGCCCTAATCTATGACAGCTCTCATATGTGCGAAGCAGCACTAGACAGGTTAACACAGGCTATCAGCCGTTTCGGATTTTAATTTGCATCCTCTAAATCCTAAGCGTTCCTCCAAGATAAGCAGGGGCCACTCTCTACACTGACCGTTGGTGGGGTCAGCTAAGAGTAGCTCAGAAATCCAACTACCTAGGCAGTCGTATCAGTGCATGTGGAGTAAAATATGAACTTACGGCAAGGGTTCAAATTACTTTCGCCAATCTTTTCCACTTATGGTTCAGGTGCAACATCACTCTATTCTTTAAGTGTAGAGTCTATGATGCAGCCGTCCGTTCAACCCCGTAAAGTTTTGAATCTTGGCCCATCAAATCGACCGATAAAAGGAGGCTAGTTTCGTTCGATCATCGCTGCCTTCGCAGCATAGCTCACATCTGTTGGGAACACTTCGTGAGCAATGAGCGTGTTCGTCGTCGTGTATTTGGTACAGAAAGTGGGAATAAACCGCTATGCAGTGTTATATCACGCACCATGCTCCGATGGCTGGGCCACGTGTTGCGCATGTCAACCCACCGACCGTCTTGCCTTGTTTGCGCGTCGGGGATGTGGGTGGAAGAAGGGGAAGCTAACCGATGAGGTGATCAAGAGAAATGAAGTCCCTCACATTGTGGTTGACCTCGGTTTGTGTCTCCCAACTCCCTTGTTTGGGTCCCAA